TATTGGTGTGGAGGGATGCCTACGAAGAGCACGCATTAGCCTGTATTGGCCGGGCATGTCAGCAGAAGTGAAACATCATATCTCATCATGCGAAACCTGCAGAACTTACGAGACTAGTCAAGCAAAGGAAACACTGATGAGTCATGAGTTACCTCAACGCCCATGGCAGAAGGTTGCGACTGATCTCTTTACACATGACAACACTGACTATCTCGTGACTGTTGACTATTACAGCGACTTTTACGAACTAGACAAACTACCAAACACACGATCAGCGACTGTGATAAAGGCAACAAAGAGCCATTTTGCAAGACATGGTATACCTGAACAAGTCGTATCCGACAATGGACCCCAATATGTTTCATCTGAGTTTAGAACATTTGCACAAGCATGGGACTTTGAACACTTGGTCACCAGTCCTTACAATAGCAAAGCCAATGGAAAGGTAGAGTCTGCAGTCAAGAAAGCAAAACGCATTCTAAGGAAGTGCAAGGACTCCAATAGCGATACATACCTTGCCATACTCGACCAGCGCAACACCCCTACACAAGGAGTAGAATCCAGTCCAGTACAAAGACTCATGAATCGACGTACAAGAACACTACTCCCTACAACAGCTAGACTACTACAACCAAGGTATGTCAACTCAGAACAAGAGCGGAAAAAAAATGAGACATAAACAACTCATACAAGCTAAGTATTACAACAGACAAGCCCATGATCTACCAGTTTTAGAGAAGGGTGATGTCATCAGGATGAAACCGTTTGTCCTTGGCGAGAAGAAATGGCGTAAAGGCATCGTGACACAACGTCTCGACCAGAGATCTTATACCATAGACACACCAGACGGCACCTACCGACGCAACAGAATGCACCTAAAAAAATCTGCTGAATCACCACCTGTTGAATCTCACTACACTCCTGACAGACAAACATCACCACCTCATGACAGACGTACAGTACCCACAAATACTCGATCGAATACCACATCTGATTTGGAATCAGCTGCTGCACTGCCGGCTACACCCACGCTCACCGCACCATACAAATCACCCACCAAGACACGAAGCGGACGTACTGTCAAACCACCAGCCTACCTTGACCAATACACCACTTGACTGACTATGTGACATGAAAGTCTGTTTTAGTAGCCAGTTTACTGTTATTAGTTTGCACCTGTTGAGTATTTTTACTGTTTGAAATGTTATTATTATAAATGTTATTCAGTATTTAGCATATCCAGATGGAGCATGTACTTTATATTCATACCCTAATGTGAATGCGATTGTTTCATTATGAACTATTCACAAGCACTGCCAGAACTCTTATATACAACAAATTGTAGTTCATCAACTCATTCTTTGAAAAGGAAGGATGTTACAATATGCTGATGTTCTTTTGTTTGCATGACCTTTATGACCGTTACGCGCATGCTCTGTGTTGTTGTTGTTTTTTACCCAAGATGTCGGCTTAATAAATGTTGCGTCTGCAACGCATCCAGACCACGGTCTCTTCGTGACTACTTTCACTTATAAGCCCGTATTGAAACACATGTATTCACCACAGCAAAACCAACAACAGTACCAGCAGAATTCACATGGAAGGGGAAATTTCAATGGTCAATCACCACCTTGGCAAAGAAATAACCGTTACCTGGAGGAGATAAACCATTCATATTAACACTTAATGCAAAGACTAAAGATTGCTTCATGGAACATCCATGGACTGGGTGGAAAATTAAGTGACTCACTGTTACTAAATTTTATTAAAGGACATGACTGTATAGGATTCGTTGAATCATGGTTAGATAAGGATTGTAGAATAGATCTCCCAGGATTTAACTTTTTCCGTAGTGATAGATTAAAGCGTAGATGTAGAGGTAGAAATTCAGGTGGAGTTGTAGTCATCTTTAAATCAGAACTCCAAAAAGGAATCACCAAAATTAACAGTTCTCATAGCGATTTCTTATGGATAAAAATGCAAAAATCATTTTTGGGCTAAAAAATGACTTGTATGCCTGTTTTTGTTATATTTCCCCAGAGGGGTCAAGTGTTTATAACGCATCTACAACCT